TGTCTAGTTCACGGATTCCTGCATGCCAAAGAAACAGAACCTTTTGTGGAAATGAAACAAGACAGTGTGAAAAGTCTCAAATGATGATAAAGTAATCCTACGTCAAATTAATTCCAAAAGACTCGTACAACGTAAAACATTAAATGGTATTTGAACACCTGCACAGAACTGACAGTTCCTCGTGGGATGTAGACACGATCGACAAGGACTCCGCCTCCCTTTGCAAACGTCATTCCTGTTCATGCTGAACGCCTAATGCTCCTTGTGTCATCTAAGGATACATAGGTTATTTTACAGCCATTTATCACACTTGTAGAACCGAGTTCTCTGTAAACAAAGATTTTCCTCCTTTTTTTTTTTTTCTTTTCCCAAAAAAGAAAATAGTAAGGTGCAGGTTAATAAGGACTTCCAGGGTAGGCCATGTTGTAATCATGAACAAATACGCAAAATAATCCTTTGGACAGTTGTTTTAAAATTGTAATATAGTCATGACTTGTTTTTCTTCTTTTATAATTTTCTTCTAGAACATATTGAAAAATGCTTTGGAATGAACATGAAGAAAACATGGTCGACATTGTCTGCTCATGTACGTAACATGTTACATGGCCCTTGTACTTTTTGTAAAGCAAAAAGATAATGTGCTGAACTTCTTTGAAGTATAAAAATCATGCAAACCCACAGCGTCCTCACAAATATCAGATAACAACTAATACAAAGGCCTTCACGTTACATTTTAAGAAACAAACAAACGAAAACAAAAAAATACCACAAAACTCACATTCACTCAGTTAACAGGGAGATGAGACTCTTACATGTATTGCTGAAGAACTGCTTCTGCAAACTTCTAGGCATCACTTAAACTGCTATAGTGGTGGTGTTCTGCTGACTGCGAAATTTTACATTGAACGCGGGTACTTTTATAAAAAAACAAGTGGAAAGACAAAATAAGTGTGTACCCTTGGCAACCATTCAGGTTCTTGTTTCCATTTTCAGACCTGCACTAGAAAAAGTTGGATGAGCAAAATCTTTGTTTTGCACTTGTATGTATAAAGCGTATCTCCAGCCTCTTAACTCCACCATTACCAAAAAGTGCACTTCTCACCCCCATTCCCCCAAGTTAAATAAAAGCAAAGGATTGAGAAGCAATAAAATGTACTCGGTGCCTTATGTGGATCCCAAATGTGGAATACCATGGTTTTATTTTAAACACGGCAGTCAATAGGAAGTTTTTTTCTAGCTGGAAAAAAACTGCCCTGAGTAAACTAGTTTTTCTCTAGTTCCAATTCAACCATGCATCCCATGGAATCTACTTTCTTACAAATATGAGCCTAATGCTAGCTGTAATTAGAAGCCCAATTAGATTTTATGGCATTTGATGAGGTCAAGTGGCTACTGGTTAGCAATCACATGCCCCTTCCATCCCATCTTACTGTACATCCTTCAAGTGCCTGGTTTGAAAGGAACAGAGCTTGTTTAAAAGAGAAAAAAAACAGACCTAAAAATGATAACCGGAATTTGACTGGCCATTCAAGGCTGCTTTTTTTTTGTACAATATCCTTGACAGAAATGGTTTTATTTCTAACAGGAAGTCCTTATAAAACTGCCAAGTGAAAGAACAAATGAAGTAAAAAAAAAAAAAAAAAAAAAACTTAAAATAAAAAGTGTCCAACTAAAATCGATCTACAAATTAATGTTAAAAAAACAAAACACATATGAAACAAAACATATTTCCCAAGTGTCCTGCCTTTGAAAGATTCACCATTTCTGTCTTTTGTTCTGTGGGGGAAGAAAAAAAGTGCAACAAATATTATTACTAAAGAAAAGCTACTCGTGTACTACGATGAACTGGAAGAACATTTGGTATCAATTTCCCTTATAATTGTAAAATGCTGCCAATTCAAAGACACAGCTGCCTTCCTTTAATGGACTTGGTAGCGAAACGTGCGCCATTAGGCTATGATGGGAGCCATTCTTCAACGAGTATATACCGGTAATAGGACAATGCATCAGTGAATAGGTGTAACACTCCTGAACTGATACACACAGGGTTAGTGGGCGGCTGTTGCCTTCACATCTCAAGAGGTGTTGTAATTCTCAGCAGCGTATCTCTACTGTATGCAGCAATGCCCAAAAGTCTGAAGAACAATGTTTATTTCACCTTTTGTTAAAAAAAAAAGTTTTACTTTAAGATTTAATTAAAATATTCACAAATAAGTAGAATTTCTGGAAAGTGTTTTCTGTGAAACTAAAATTTATATTCATAAACAGTTGAAGTCAGTTACATTTTTGTAAAGGTATAATTACATATGGTAACATAAGTGTGCTACAAATAAATATGTGCTAAATCTGTAGGTCTTAATTTCTGAGATACAATATGTAAACAATCGATTGTTTCATATAAATCTTTGAAGTTTGACATTTTTGTAGCAGCTTAGAGTGGGTGAATTCTAGTTTATTAAGTGCAATAGTGAGTGCAGACACATCAGGTCTTAACAACTAATAGTTCTGTAAGGCCCTGTTCACGCCATCTCAATCCATTCCAACATGCAGGGCCACTCGCTCCGAATGGCACCCTAATGCATGTGTGTTGCAGTGCACCACAATGCACGGTAACACACTACCGTGCATTTTCTGTGCTGCAATACATAAATAGCTCATTTTTGTACACTAATGGAACACAATAGTGTGAAGGGCCCTAAGTGTGTAAATAAAGTATGGGCTAACAATACAAAAATATCACTCTTGATGACTGGCTTGCTTATGGAAGACTGAAAACAAAAATTAAATTGAAATTTTATAACTTAAGATATTTTATGTTTCTTATAGGCCCGATCACACCTGGGCGTTTTGTAGCGCGTTCCTACGCTATGCAAAACGCTCAAACACTGAAATCCCAAGATTTCCTATGGGTATGGTTCACACCTGGGCGTATTACAGGCCGTATGAACGCGCTACAAAACGCCCTACACCCAAAGAAGTACAGGAGCTTCTTTGGGGCGTATTTGCCGAGCGTATCCATTGGGATACAGCCAGGTAGCCCTCGGAAAAGCGCGTATGTCGGGCGGTTTTTCCCCCCCGCGAATCGCGGTAAAAACATGCGGCACGAAACGCGCGACATTCGCGCATATTCGATACGCCTAGGTGTGAACCCAGCCTTAGAGTGAACTAGTAGCTCGGGAATAGTGACAGGATTCCAGTTGGAGACAAAGGGAGTTACACATGATTGATAGCAATGGAAGTAATCACTATACATGATTTGAAATGCATGTTTACTTGGATTTTCATTCTGTAACATGGAAGTTATGACCATAACTGTGTATGCTCTGCCGCTGTTCTTTTCTTTTTTTCCTGTTCCCAATTGGTTCATAAATAAAGAATTAAAAAAAAGAAGAAAAAAAGTGAAATAGTATAACGTCTATTGGGTATTGATTGACAAAATTCTGCCTGGGGTTGGTATTTAGGTTAAGCTGGAGGACATATCCACATTAGGGGCTCATGTAACAGTGTAAAAAAAACCTACAGCCAAAAAGGTGGTGGTGTGAATGTTCAGGTGTGGAAGATTTGCCTATTATGGAATTGATTTAGATTGGACCAATTTCACAATGGCCAAAAGGCAAAGTTTTGTGGAAGAACTGCATTGTCAAAAAAAAAAACGGACTTGTTCGATTTGCCTCAGAAGTAAACTTGATGGAAACATTCAACTTTGCTTAAAACTTGTGTTACCTGTTTTTTTCTTTATTAAAATGATAAAATAAACACTGTTCTAGGTGGTAACTTCAGACTTTTGGACCCTGCTATACATTACTCCTTTATAGTTCATGGAAATCTACTGTTTTATGCTATCAGCTATTTCAGGCTGTCAAGAAGCTGCTTTCCTTGTTCAATGAGTTTACTCGTCAGGAAGTCTATTGTATGTACCAAA